AGCTCAAGCAAGCCCCCTGTTTCAGCCTCCCAGAGTGTTAGGCTCACCGGTGTAAGCCACCACACCTCGCTAAATCTGGGGTCTTGATGGTCTTATCTAGGGGCAGAATTTACTCACCCCAGAGCCACCCACCCTCAGGAAGGGCTGCTCTCCTGCTATTGGCAGCTAACCACTTCCATGCTGCTGGATCCTGAATCCAGACGGTTCTTAAGTATTGAGAAATAATACTGGACGTTTTGCTGGATCAACATGAATAATTGGCCAAAATCTGTGTCCACACAGCAGGGAACTATAAATAGACAGGCAACATTATTGCCGAAGAGCAGGTGGTGTCTGTGGGCACCTGTTGTGTATGTGCTACATAAACTTGCTGGGGTAAGAGGGGCCCTGCACGTGGAGAAAGCAGCACCTTGCATTTATCAGTGGTCAGGGATCCCACAGAAGCAGCTGTTCACAGCTATCTGCTACAAATCACACCCAAATCTAACTCCTGTAAGCCGAGGAGCTTCTAGGCACCTCTTAGAGCTTAGTGGGGAGAGCAGTGCATGAGGATTTTTTTTTCTTTCTTAAATAATACAGTCATCCCGGCAAATTCCTTTCCTATTTCCAATGTGGTTAGTGGGATCCTCTCACTTTAGTTTCTGGGCAGTGATGTACATCCCCTCTCCCTAATTTTCAACCATTGAGAAGTTTTTAAAGCAGGTGGAATTAAAACCAGATACTCACGGTTAGCAGAGGCCAAGATTCCTGGTGATGGCTGTAGGGACTCAGCTCTGGCTTTTTTTTTTTTTTTTTTTTGGTTCTCTTGCCCAAATTCTTTTCTAAGAGCCCTGGTGCATTAACCCTATGAACAATAATATCTCATTAAAATGGATTTTATGAACCTTATGGCTTCCTTTCCAACCTGATTCTGGTACAGCATCTCAGGAGAGGCAGAAGACCCTCTTATCTGAACTCGGTCATCCTAGCAGACCCCTATGTTAACTCAAGTTCTCCTTTCCATTCATTCCAGGTGTTTAGACAAAGCTTGACTTTTTCCAACCAATTCTCAACTAAAGAATCCCTAAAACCCACCTATGACTTGTAAGCCCCACCCTTAGATGTCCCTCCATTTTGGGCCACACCACATACACCTTCCACGCGCTGATCTGCGGCTTTACCTGCAGCCCCTCCTGTCTCTGTGTGTATAAAACCAAACTGCCTCCTGGGCATCTTGGACACATTTTTCTCAGGACCTCTTGGGAGCTTGTTTCCCAGACCGTGATCACACACATTTGCCTCAGAATAAACCTCTTTAAATGACTTTACAGAGTTTGGGGTTTTCTGTTGCCAACGGTATATTTTTAAGAATTCTGTACTCATTGTGTTATTGTTTTAAGTAAGCTGATAGGATGAAAAGCCAATAGGTCATGGAGGGAGTAGCCTTCCCCCACACCTCCCAGGATGGGTCTCAAGCAGTTGTTTTTTGAGAGGTTCGATGGGTATATTAGCAAGGAAAAGTAACAGTGGTCATGTTCCCCATGGTTGTGGTCAAGGCAACAATTTGAGGAACTGAGTTTGTTTCTGTAGTTGTTCTCAAATAGCTTGTCAGGAAAAAGAAGACATTAGTCCAGGAAAACACATTTTCTACCAGCCCTGAATAGCTTAAAATTTGAAAAAAAAAATCCTATCAAGTGTGTTACTTAAGTCATGTTTAATTAGAAACGAAAAATCAGCTTTTTTTTTTTTTTAAGACAGCGTCTTACTTGTTACCCTTGGTAGTGTGCCAGTGGTGTCACAGCTCACAGCAACCAACTCATGGGCTTAAATGATTCTCTTGCCTTAGTCTCCCAAGTAGCTGGGATTACAGTCGTCCACCACAACACCTGGCTCTTTTTGCAGGTGGTGTCTGTGGGCACCTGTTGTGTATGT